AGCAGGGTAAGATTTATTATAGGTAGTGTCAGGAGATAAAACTGGAAGTTGTAAATTGGAACCAGACTGCGATGAGTTCCGTCTGAATAGCAAGTAAAGGATTTTCATACCAAAGATAATGACCTGCACTTGAAGATTTACAAAGGAAATGTGTACTAAAGGTAAGACAATTCGGCAGTATGGAAGGTAAAGCAGAGCCAGAACATTCTGCTAGCTACAAAATCTTTTAAAAAGCTGCCAAATTGCCCATTTGTGGAAAATTTTTGAAAATTGAATTTTTTGTACTATTTACTTAATCCTGTAAAGAGATTGGTGGAGCACAGCACAGTCTCCTACCAGGAATAACCTTCCTACCTTCCTCAGCCCAAGCCCAGGGAGAAAGCCTGCGGGGATGCAGGCCTGCTCTTTAAAGACCTAATAACATAAACTCTGCCGGGTTTGAGTGTGCAAGTTTTGGGGGAGGAGCAGGAAAGAGCTGAAGAACTGCTTTGCACAATAGAGAAAAAGCACTTGGAATTCCAGGAATTTAAGGAGGGAAGAAGTAAAAGGAAGAAGAAAAGAAGGGAAGGTAGGAAGAAACTAGACACTAAGTAAGAAGGCCCAATGAGAAATGCTTAATGATAGAGTGTCCCAAGAATGTACAACACCATCTGATTTCACATTGTTCTTTGTTTAGTGTACTGGGACTTTGAATTGGTGAAAACAGAAACACAGCCATTCCCCTTCCAGAGTTTGGAACTGATTTGCAAAGTGACACGGGGTCTAGCAGACGATCAAAATATTAGCTTTATATGTGGTGAAGTGCAACTAACAGGAATGGTCTGACCTAAAGCCAGAATGGATTTCTGATGCTTTTCCTCACATACAGAACTCAGAAAGACATCCCCTCTGCACCCTAGAAACACTGCCTGAAAAGCAGATGCTTATCTACTAGGTCAAAGGAATACCCACACACACACACAATTAATTACATGCCGTTGTCAGGGAAAGAGCCTGGTTTCCATATACTGCCCTAGAAGTTAGGAAAGGGCCTGACCTTTGTGTGCTTAGCCCAGGAGTCCAGAGAAGAACACGCAAGTTCCCAATTGAAAGATTCAAATAGGTACAGGAAGAAGCCAAACATCATAATAAATTCTAAGCTATGACATCCCAAATTGTGTTAAGGTGAATAACTTCTAATAACTGAAATACACAGTGTCTTCAGAAATACATAAAAGGGTAAGAAACTCAGCTTTATGTTCAGAAAGAAACACCAGTTTTGTAATTAAAAATCTGACAAACACAATTTGTTCCAGAAAATGAGAAATGAAATGTAGACCACAAGACTACTCAATTGTAACCCAAGTCTTCCCCTCATAAAGAATGTGGCTATTACTCCTCTTGCCGGCAGCTGACTCATGACTTAAAGTCCTATGACAGGAGACAGCTCTGTCATTCCGGTAATCAGAAGCTTTTATTTTCCCTGGGGGATGAACTGTTGTTTATCAGAAGTCCCAGTGAAGAACCTGCGATAGCATGTTAAAAAGAAAAAACAAAACAAAACCAAAAATGAACACTTTTTGGGGCACATGATATACTATTTTTTCTCAGAGGAATATATGAGGAACTTCTCTTATAATAAATTTCATGGGGCAAAGTCCAACTCCATTTATTTTATAGCTCTTGAGAAACAATGATATGGAGCCAATAAAAGTTCTGTTTGAAATACAAAGAAAGTTCAGGAGAGAATTATTAACAAATCAGAGGTAAGTCTTCATAAGATTTCAATATTTACTCAACCTTTCAATGCTGTTAGTTTCGTATTCATGAAATCAGTTATGCTATCTAAGGCCGTACCATCCTGAATGCCCCTGTTCACATCTGAAATCAGTTATATATTTCTATTAACACATATTAATTGTACATATTTATGGGAGTCACTATTATATTTATTTACATGCATACAGTTGTATTGGTCATATTTAAATAAATTATAAATTTACCTTTATAAAATTCGTTTTATGACTTATCATAAGTAAGCTTTTTTGAGTTATGATAACTAAAACCTGAATTTGAAGTTGGGTAAATCTTTTTTTGCATAATGAAGGTTGCATAGAGAGAATACACAGTAATTAAAATGTAAAATATCTGCCAATGTTTCAGTATCATACATATCACCTAAAGATTTTATTCAAAGTAAAAATAACTATAACACTATAAGAAAGTAGTATATGATATTTGAGATCAGTGGGAGAATTTCAGCAAAATAGCACTAAATATACCAAATGTCTCTAATCTGCTGTAGAATTAGAAAAATCAAAATTGAAATTAAACTGATAGACTATGAAGAAATGAATTTCAAATATGTCAGTAAAATCAAAGAAAATAGGTAGACTAGAGCACAATATTTTAAAATTCATGGAATATGGCCAAAATAGTACTCAGTATACTTGTGTCAACATATGTTCCTAGGCAAAAATAAAAGGAACAAAAATAAATTAGCTAAACAGTCAACTTGAGAAGCTAGAAAGAATTACATATATGCTTAAAAGTATAGAAAGCAATGAGTAGTAGTAAAAGGTAAAAGTAATGAAATATAAGCATCACCAATACTATCAAGGAAATACAACAAAATTACTTTGGGTTGTATAATTTCTGAGACTAGTAAAGGCATGGTGTAAAGTTTCCCCTTACATTTTCTAATCCCCCAAACTGGAAATTTAAAAACATATAAAGGTTCACTGATGGAATTCTTCAATGATAGCTAATTTACATTGCAAAATGGCATCAATAGTTTAAAAGTAGATTCTAGATGTACTAACACAGAGTGGGTTTGATAACCTCATGCGTACATATGCCAGCCTTGAGCTGTGCCATGTTCCTATACTCTTGCTTTTATTTCCCTGGTATTTTTTATTTAAATTGACTCTCTTTAAAGAGAAAAAATAAACTCCTTGTCATTTACAGTAGTATCTATGAAAATGCAAGTTTGATACGTTGGATGTGTTTTTCTATCACACATTAAAATGGATGCATAACAAATTATTTTATTCAAAGCTCTTCCTTGATTCAGTCATGGGCAAGGAATCCCAGCTCTCTTGATTGCAAGTCTGATTTGATACAAGTCAGACTGATTGCTCATACTGGCTTAGACCCACTTATTCGTCTTTTCTGACTTGTGACAAGCCAGCCTGTGCCAGAATGTCTTTCTGAAGTTGCTTAATGGAAAACATGAACTAGTGACTGGACCAGCCAACTGGAGTCCATAAGAAGTTATGGACAGGGACGGCTCTGGGTCACAAGACTTCCCCACATCCCTCTCTACAAAAGTAATTGATAGTATCAGCCACAGAGATCAATGGAAAAAAACCAGAGATGTATATTTGCCTCACATTCCAAGGTTTCTCTGATTCCAGGAACAAGCAGAGGAGGATTATTATACATATTTACCTACATATTTTCCCCAGACTCACAGGATGCAGCCTGAGAAATCAAAATCTGAACAACTGTGATAAAGACACTGTCTTGAGCATGTGACCAAGACTTCAACAAGTTGTCCCCTTATCACAACTCTTAAAAGTGGCTTCTGCTATCCTGTCCTATTTGATTGATTGATTTTTTGACAGGGGGATCCTCTTTTGACTTCTTATGGGTCATGGTTCCTTTTAACTTAAACTAATCCATTTTTTAAATGTTCATATCCTTTAAAAAGCTATAAATATGGGTGCACATTTATAAAAGTATAATCTGTTAGATTCTTGAGAGTTGCATACAGCTTGAGAAAAAGAAAATTGGATTGTTCATCTCCAGAAAATACAACATTTGAAATATCTGAACTATTTCAAAGAAAAGCTATAGTCAAGCTTCCTTAGTTTATTCAGTCCCATTAGAATAATACATCCTTGATTTATCATCATAACTCCTAAACTAATTTCTTTTCTCCTTTTTCTTTATTTTTTTAAAACTGTTTACCCTATTTGCCTCATACCACAGTATTGGTTTCTATGAGATGGTTAGGTCCTTGAGCTCTGGGTAAGAAAGCCATGTTTAGAGTCTAATTCTGACTTTCAAAATCTGTGTGATCTTGACAAGACTTAAACTCTGCATGCTTCAGATTGCTTACACATAAAATAAAGATAATATATGTAATTACCTGTGAGGATTAAGTGAGATAAACTGTGCCCTGATAAGCATTGATTAAACGTTAACTATTAATGTTATTCATGCTCCTTACCAGAAATGAGCAAAGTACCAAGTGTTTTTATTTGCATAGATATAAAACAAGTTGTATTCATTCTATACTTGACAGGATTTCTTTTTAGTTGCTTAACTTGACTTTTTATCAAATCTTCTTAAATTTATCAAAGCCATTAAAATCTTAACTTTAGAATTCAAATACATCTACCTTATTTGGTGTTTTGTTTGTTTGTTTGTTTGTTTGTTTTGGTTTTTCTCCGGTACCGGGAACCGAACTCATGACCTTGCGCTTGCCAGGCAGGCGCTTTGCTGCTGAGCTAAATCCCCAGCCCCAGCTAAATCCGCAGCCCCTGGTGTTATTTATAATGATCTTACACTCGCATTATTTTTGTCACAAATAATGCTTAGTAGTTTAAAAATCTACATAATAATTATACTGTTTTGTAAGCTGAGACACTTTATTAGTATGATAAATGCATAATTTATTATGCATTTTTATTAGTTCTCCCATTACACTCTGCATAAAATGTAAACCATTCAAATTTAGGAAATTAATCAAAATTAGGAAGTATAAAAAATGTCTTAATAGGTAAATATGCAGTACATTTTATAAAGTTTTGATTTCTGCTATGCTTCTTGACCACTTGATTTACAGTAACAACAATAAAATATGCAAATTGAAGTAAAATATTTTCTCCTATGTGTACCATTGACCTTTATGCAATCAATATCTCATAATCAGCAGCAGAGATAATCATTAGGAGTATATGTGCACGGAGAAAAGCAAGGTACAAGAAAGCCTTCTGAACATTTTGAGAGGAACAATGGAGTCATTCAGAGCCCTTGCTTCCCTCTTAGTCCTACACCTGCTGCAGGGCTCGGACTCTTCCTTAGTGCAGCTGAATGAGAATGGTTATGAAGACGTCATCATTGCTATAGACCCTGCTGTGCCGGAAGATGGAGAAATAATCGAACGAATAAAGGTAAGGAGAAAGGATGTTTCTTCTGCATGAATTTTGAAGAAAAAAGTTCATAATGACTGATTATATTGGAACTCTGAATGCTGCAGGAACTTTAGAAGCAGCTCAGTGTAGTAAGGGTAATGCTGGACGGGCAGAGGGAGACAGAGCCCTGGATAGGGCTCTACTCTGTCTCACTAAAGGATCAAAGACAGGCTCAGGTCCTCCCTGGGCCTCAGTTTCCTCATCTGTAAATTAGCTGTGGGACTCCTATGTTGTATAAATAATTATTTATTGAACTTATGGCATGCTTGAGGAGAGAGCAGTAAACTAAAGAAAAAAGGCACCTAGCATCATAGAGGATATATACTTTATGAAAAATGAATAAAATGGAGGAAAAGAAAAATGGATAACATAGCAGGTCAGATGATAGTAGGTTTCTTTGGAATACAATAAATAAAGAAGGAGCATGTAAAATGTGGGGTGCAACTTGCATAGGGAGAGACCCTTTCACACGGAGGATAGTAAGGGAAGACCTCATTGATGATATAACATCTGGGCAGAGACTGAGATGAGTGAGGGAAGGCCTCCTTGGACAGCTGCAGGCTAGGATTAGAATGATGGGAGGACTAAAGAAATGGCAGTGAATGAACAGGAAGAAGGTTTGGGGGAGGTGAAGCTGGAGAGAGCGTGCCCAGACCACTGGAAAAATCTGGGCTTTTACTCTGAGATGATAATCCATGAAAGGCTTTTAAGCAGGAGGTATGCTCAGGGACCACTCTGACTGTGATGTAGAGAAAACAGGGGAGTGGCTGGACTGTCACTCATACTGTATGAACTCTGCTACAGCATAGAAGCATAGAAGGACCAGGTAGGGAGCTGGGGCAGGTGAGCAGTTATGGTGGCCAGGACAGGGAGATTGTTGTGCAGACCCTTAAAGTATGTGATTCTGAACATATTTGGAGAGCATCTGAGGCAACATTTCTTGGTGACTGTAGGATACTGGTAGGGAGGAAGGAAACGTAAGAGTCAAGGAGGCTTCAGAAGTTTTCACAAACATTTGGAAGAATAGAACAACCACCAACTAGGAAAAAAAAGACTTAAAAGTGGAGACAACTTGACAATTTGGAAATTAAATTTGGTTTCGCATATTTTGAAGTTGAGATACTTTTCAAACATCCAAGGAGATGGAAGTAGGAATGTGAATTTATGATGACAACTCACATGTAGATAAAAATTTGAGAGTCATCATCAGTAGATAACGAGTCCATAGATGATAGGAAGTAGTACAATGGAAAAGAAAGGCTACCAGACCAAACCATTGGCACTGATATTCTAGTTACTTCCAACTGTGATATCCTATGCCGTATATAGATTGATGCTTCAGCTACATGCCCATTTATTCTGCCCCGACACCATCTAACACTTCCTTGTGTTCAAGTCCTGCAGAGCTCACTATTCAGCCGTCTACTGTGCATGCTCCGAGTTGTGACTGCACATTGCCACGGCTGCCATTCCTTATAAACGCTGTTGTAGCAGGGAGCTGCTTACTTATTGGAGCCTTCTGAATTACAGGAGAAAATAAAGATTGCTTTTTCTAAAGAATGTGGGTTTGAAAAGGAAGTAGCACAGCTGATTCCGGATGATAGATTTTTAGTGTTCAGAGACAATCAGTTTCAAACTTTTTACTAACTCAAATATCAGCATCTGACATGGTCCTTTATTGAACACTACAAGAAAAATTAAACTTTTTGCAAACCTACTCAGATTTCACAAAGTTTCTCTTGGGTTTCTTTGTTTTCAATTTTTTTAGTGTGGTAAATTACATATAGCATAAAATTCATCAGTATGACTTTTTAAAGATACAATTCAGGAATATTTATTATATTCATAATGCTATGCAATTATCACCACTATCTACTTGTAAAGTGTTTTATCACCCCAAACAAATTCCATATCCACTAAAAGAACTTGTTTAATGGTGCCGAGAATTGAGTTACAGCCTTAGGTCTCTTGATTTTCACATTTTTTTATTGGTACACGTTTGTGGTACATAACGATTCATTGTAATATGATGTCTTTAACCCATTCAGGAAGAGCCTAGAAGTGGAGTAGCTGGGTCAAACGGACTTTTATTTTTACTTTTTGGGAAATCTGTATACTTATTCTCTGATTATACTTATTTACATTTCCATCAAAAATATAGAAAGGTTCTTTTATCCTCACAGCCTCACCAGCACTTTTTTTTATTTGATTTCATCATGATAGCCACTGTTTCTGAAGTAAGATGAAATTTTCATATAGTTTTAATTTGCATTTCTCTAATAGTTAAAGATATTGAACATTTTTTCATGTATTTATTGGCCAGTTGTACTTTTAAGAAGTGTCTACTCATTTCACTTGCTCCTGTTTTAACTGAGTCTTAATTTATCAGGAGTCTAATTTTTTAAATTCTTTATTTATTCTAGATATTCATTCTCTGTCTGAGGAATAACTGGCAAAATTTTTCCTATTCTATCGGTTTTCTCTTCACTTTATTGGTTGCTCCCTTTCCTTTGCCGAAGATTTTTAATTTGGTATGATCCCATTAGCTTATGCTTGGTACTATTTCAAGTGCAGTTGGGAATCTGTTATAAACTCCATGCCTCCACTTATGCCTTCCAGAGTTTTATGTATTTTATCTTCCAATCAGTTAAGTGTTTGTGTTTTCACATTTAGATCTTTGATCCATTTTGTTTTTAGTTTACTGCATAGTGAAAGATCTGGATAGCCAGTTTTCCCAACACCATTTGTTAAAGAAGCTACCTTCCACACGTTTTTGGCCCCTTTGTCAAAAATTAGATGGGTTAGTGTACCTGGAGTTGTTTCCGCACCCTCTATTCTGTTTCATTGATATACATGTCTTTCTTGATGAGCATGCTGTTTTTATCACTGTAGGTTTGTAATATAACTTGAAGTCAGGTATTGTGATGCCTCCTGCTTTGCTCTTGTTCCTCAGGATTGTTTCTGCTATTCTGGGTTGCTTCTGGCTCCATATAAATATTAAGATTATTTTCTCTGGTTGTGTGAGGAATGCTACTGATATCATGATTAGGACTGCATTAAATCTATACGTTAGTTTGAGAAATATTGCCATTTTAACAATACTGGTTCTGTCTACCTAGGAACAAGGACATCTTTCCATTTTCTGATGTTCTCTTCAATCTTTTTTTTTGGATAATTTTCTATGTAGAGGTCCTATAATTTTCAATGTAGAGGTCCTTTACTTTCTTGATTAGACTAATTCCTAAGTATTAGTTTTCTATGAGGCTATTGTGAAGGTAATGTTTTTCTAATTTCTTTCCTAGTGAGTTTATTATTGCTGTACATGAACATTATTGATTTTTCCATCTTAATTTTGTATCTTGCTATGCTACTGAATTTGTTTATTGATTCTAGGAGTCTTTTAATGGAATTTTTTGGGTCTTCTATATAGAGTATCATGTCATCTGCAAGAAAGAAAGAGTCTTTCTTTCCTGTGCATACTCCTTTTATTTGTTTCTATTGTCTCATTCTTCTGGCTAACATCTTGAGAACTACATTGAAAAGAAGTAATGATAATAGACATCCTTTGTCTTGTTGCTAATTTTGGAGAGAAAGTTTTCAGTTTTTCCCTATTTAATAAGATATTGGCAGTAGGCTTGTTATTAATCCCTTTTATCAGATTGAGATGAGGTCCCTCTCTATATATTTTTTCCAGTACCTTTATCATGAATGTATGTTTGATTTTGTCAAAGGTTTTTTTCTACATTTATTGAGGTGATAATGTGATTCTTGTCGTATTTATGTGATGTATTACATTAACTGATTTATGTAAGTTGAATTATCCCTGCATCCCGGGGATGAAGCCTACTTGGTCATGATGTATGATATTTCTGATGATTTTTTGTATTCTGTCTGACAGTACCTTGTTGAGGACTATTGCATCTATCATTAAAGAGACTGACCTATAATTTTCTTTTTTGCTTGGATCTTTGCCTGGTTTTGGAATCAGGGTAATGCTAGGTTCTAGAAATGACTTTGGAAATACTCTCCCTTTTTTTCAATTTCATTAAAAGCTTGAGGTTTATTTTTGTTTGATTTTCCCTGAAGTTTCTGTAGAATTAAAAAGTGAATCCAGGGGCTGGGGATTTAGCGGCAAAGCGCCTGCGGCAAAAGCGCCTGCCTGGCAAGTGCAAGGTCGTGAGTTCGGTTCCTGGTACCGGAGAAAAACAAAAAAAAATAAAAATAAAAATAAAAAAATAAAAAGTGAATCCATTCAGAGAAGGACTTTTCTTTGTTGGTAGGTTTTTTATAAATGCTTCAATTTCCTTGTTATTGCATAATTCAATTTTTGTATCTTCTTTTTTCAGTTTTAGTAGTTCAAGTGAGTCTGAGAATCTATCCATTTCTTCTGGATTCTCCAGCTTATTGGCATACCAGTTTGTAATGCAGTTATTAATAATCTGAATTTCTGTGATGTCTATTGTGATTTCACCTTTTTCACTTCTAATGGCATGATTTGAGTTTTTCCTTTCATTTTTTTGATAAGGTTGATTAAGAATTTGTCTAATTTGTTTATTCTTTCAAAGAACCAGCTCTTCGGTTGATGGATTCTTTGTATTTTTTAAGTCTCAATTTCATTGATTTCTACTCTGGTCTTTATGATTACCTTCCTTGTACTAATTTAGGGTTTGGATTTGTTCTTGCTTTTCTACCAGCTTAAGGTGAATCATTAGCTTATCTTTGGGCTCATTCTGTTTCTTTGACATTGGCATTCACAGCTATGAATTTTATCTTAGAATTTATTTCATTATGTATAAGTTCTGACACATTGTACTGGCATTACCATTTAATTTTAGGAACATTTTTTGTTGCTATTTTCTGTAACCCATTGATTGTTCAGGCAAGTATTGTTTAATTTCTATGCATCTGCATGCTTTCTGTGGTTTCTTCTGCCATTGATTTCGTTTTATTTGCTATGATATGAAAATGTGCATGGTATA